AAAAAAACTCAAAGCAGTCATATCAACACCATACAAGTTAGCTGCACTGCAAATTATGGGGCTTCTCATGGAGGAAATGGAATAAAAGGCAGGGAGGAGACTGCAGAAAATCTATCTGGTCTATGAGCAAGTAGTCTTTGCAGTGTCTCTGGTGCTTTTCCTGGCCCTGGACTGGAGGCCGCTAGAAGAACCCAGGGAGGAAAAGCAGAGGAGACTAATAAAACCTGAATTACTGGTCACTTGTGATCTTTTTATGAGAGTGTAGCAGAAGCCAAGCCCTACTTGCAGTTAGCGTTCTTGCATTTGTAAGGCCCTGCAAAAAATTCGGGAACAAATTTTGAATCAACAGACTGCCTGACCCATGCGGTCTTCTATCATTTGAAAAAGCTGGCAAACTATTGCTTTCCCCTAGCTATTTCATGGCTATCTCAAGAATTAATGAGCTACAGTATCTTTTCCAAAGTGTTTTATTCCTCTTTGTTAATGTAAAACATTATTAGCATATTTATAATAATATGTGTGTATATGATTGTATATATTGTTTAGCCGGAAGGATGAACATTTTCATTTTAAGACTGTAATAAGAAATTGGGAAAAAATAATAACTATGAGAACATCTTTCCCTCCAAAAGAAATACTCAGGTAAAAATGGAAATTTTTCTCATTGAGCAGGCACATCTTAAACCACTTGGCTAACCACTCCATGAAAATGCATCTGTCCTTCTCTCTGTATGCAGTCTTGCCTGAAGAGAGCCTTTTATTGGTATCCAGATTGTAAAAGAGACACAACTAGTATTATTTGTGTATCACACTGACAAAGCTCCAGAAGTTAATCCAAGAAATGTGCATCATATGCTATGTTAAAACAAGCCACGTTTGTTATAAAATGTTTATTTCCTTTTGGGTGTACAACAGGCAAGATTCACAATCTCCTTCCACAGCTATTTTTATGATCTCTGTTGTGAAACATTGCATATGAAAAATCTACTGGGGAAGGGGATGCTTTTTGGAATATGTGTTTGTCCTTTCCATTGGAGGAAGGGGCCATGGGTCCAGAAAACTGTTCTTTTCACCCACTCTAGTATCTTGGACCTCCTGAGATTGTTGGTGGGAGCTAATATAAAACAATTCAAACAGTTTGGGAAGTTGTATGATTTATAGATGCAAAAATCTGAAGCCTAGAAGTTCTACATCTGGGTAGCAGCCAATCAGGTAAAAGCTTGCTTGTCCTTTTTTGGTACTTGGGATTGAACTCAGGACCTTGCGCTTGCCAGGCTGGCACTTAAGCTGCTGAGCTATCTCCCTAGCAAGCCTGCTGGTCTTTAATGTCAATTCCTGCGGCCTTTGTACTTACTGCAGAAATGTAGAACAAATTCAGATGAATTTCTGCTCTGAGATCAGCTCAGTGTCCTTGCTTGTAACAACATACAAGAGTTACTAAAATGCAGTCACGTTTTATGTAAGTACATGTAGCGAAGGAGTTATGTGATGATAAAGGCATCTCTGATAGCTGAACTAAAACCATCACCCGTGGTTTTCAATGCTGAATACTGTGGGTGTGACTTAGGTAAGGCATAAAATTTCTTAGCAAACATGGCCAACTCTCATTCTGGGGATCTCTGAGGGGCTCTTGTTAGATGGCTACAAGCTTGTTCAAAATCTGCAGTCATTATAAGCTGACCTCAGCCCCACCTGAATACCCCCTCAATTTTTGGAGACTTAGATGGACCACGGGGTATAAAATTTACAACTGATAAATCATGCAATCAATTGATTCATTGAAATCAATGAGGAAATAATTTCCTCCTGAAGGGAGACAGTAACAAGAAAAGTGGACCCTCTCGGTCACTTAGGGTCACTGAGCAGGTGAGACAGTCCTTGTTAATTCAACTTTATTAGCCTGTTGTTTAGCCTGTTGACTATGAAAGTTTCAGTAGAGTCAATGAGAAAGATGCAGGAAAAGAGATGCCTTCTTATTTCTCCTAAGTGAGCATAATAGGGTTAGAAAGACAATTTGTCTCTTGAAAGTGAAGAATGTAGATCCTCCATTTGAAGTTTTACATTTCTGATAATTCATGGTGTCAGTGCTCAGTAGGTTGAAGACAATATTTGGTTCTGTGACTTCTCTTGAGAAAGCCTTCCTCTGCCATGGATAGAGTGAACACATTCTGTAACGTACACGAGTAATTTTTATTTTTTGGACACATCCTAAGGAGAAATAGTTTTTCTTGCAACAAATCAGAGATAAATTAAATGTGAATAATACCCTAAGGGAAGAATTAACTATATGTTACTTGAGAGTTGTGCTGAGGGGTGGAAAATACATTTCCATGTGGAATTCACAATTTGTAAATCTCTTGTAATATGGATTATGCTTAATAATTGCAGACATTTTTATAGCAGAGGACTTGTATGCTGGATATCGTTCTCCATGAATACAATTTTGAACCTTTAAAAATTTTATTATTCTCTTACAATAAGAGAATTACTATTTGGTTCTTTCAAATTGATATCTTCCAGATGCTTGCCAGCAATTCTGTTGGATAATTTTCCAAATTATAGCATTGAAATAAAGCTAAAAGAGATATGATATTATTATGATTCTGAAGCAAACAAAAGAAGTTTCATTTTAATGAGCCATATCAGAATATCAGTAATTGTAATAACTGTTAAAGTGGTGTTTGTTTTGCTTGCTAAAGATTGGGATTATGTTTTGGATTGTCTCTAGGTAGCCAGTAGTGCTTTTTTAAAATGAGGCCCAAATTCAACTTCTGGTGGATGCTGTAGGAGAAAAGGAAGTGGGATCTGACCGAAAACTTACACCTGCACAAATTGGCAAGAGAGAAGAAAAGTGATTATAAGTAGGGTTGGGAGAACTTCAACTCTCAAAGGGTAGAGTGAGAAGCTTCAGCAGATGCATGATGAAAGAGGTTACCACAGTTACCTTGTGAGATGAGAACTTGAGTGTGGTGGAGGGGAAGAAAGGAAGGGAGAGCGTGAGGGGACAGGAGGGAGGAAGAATGTCATCAGCTCAGACTAAGCGAAGAGTTGAAGAAGTGTCAGATGGGAAACATTGACCTCCATGTGGCAGATCAAAGATGCAGTGAGTAAACCATAAATCAGTGTTGTCAGGTAATCAATAAAGAAAGACTCAGCCCTGTATGGGCCAAAATAGAGGACTGGCACAACGAAGGGCATTCCTATTGAGGAGGTGAACTTGAAGGCCCAGTCTGAAGGAGCCAGGTTGTGGAAGAATGGTGACATCTTCTGCCACATGTGTGCCTGAATTCCAGGGACTGGAGTATGATAGATGAACAAACTGGAGGCAGCCAGGCATGGAATGGAGCCCTGGCTCTGGGCTTCCTTGCTCTGTAGTCATAGGCAAAGTATTTCATTTCTCTCAGCCTCAATCCTAACTTGTAGAATGGAATAGACTCTTTTAAAGATTAAATGATTAATCCATGGAAAATATTAGGAAAGTGCCTACATCTTTACCTACATCTATGAAGCATCAGATGATAAACCTAACAGCATTTAGTCTTTCCTTTGTGAAGAAACATGATCATTTTCTCTTTTGGACTGATTGGATATGCATTCCATAATTCATGCTAAAATTAACAGTATATAAAAAAATCCAACTAAAAGACTAAAAGATAAAGACTACTGATGATTTCCTTAGGGTGGTTGATTATGATTATCTTTTTCTTTATGCATTTAAAAAAATCAGTAATAAAACTTTATTTTTATTGGAAAAATCATAATGAGATTCTCTTTTCTTTATAATTGACAATTCTATAAGCAGAAAC